GAACGGGATCAAACTATGGAAGAAGAGCAAAACTACGAGTTCAACTTAGAGGAAGTGCCAGTTAGGGTGCGGTTCAATAAAATCGATAATGACTACGTAATTTTCTTCAACCAGCATCACATCGTCACTGATGGTTGGTCCGTGACAGTGTTAGCGCAAGAGCTGAACTCGATCTATGAAATGTACTTGAACGCAGCACAGGAACGAGTGCAGCCAATCCCGTACTCAATAAGTGAGTATGCACACTGGCAGCAAAAACATGTGACTTTCTCGGAAGAAATTGAGGAAATGCAGTCTCTTCTATCAGGGAGGGAAGCGACAACATTACCTCAGAAGCCCCTCAATAGCGGGTCTCGTCACTTTAAGAAGTTGGTCCAAATTCTTCCTCTCAAACTGGCTGAGAGCCTTACAGAATTGGCCAAAAAATTCCACACCACCGAGTATGTGGTAGCACTGTCAGCCTTTCTTCTCACACTGCGAAGGCTAAAGGCTAATAGCCAAGACGACTCAATTGTCATAGGCAGTCCCGTTTTGAACCGTGATGAGAAGGTGAAAGACCTAATGGGATACTTCTTGAACAACGTAGTAGTTTCAACAGATGTGCGTCTTAGTGATAGTTTGGGGGACGTTATTTTGTCGATGAAACAAACAACAGCGGCTCTGCGAAGATTTGAAAAAGTTCCTTTCCATAAGCTTGTCGCGAGACTGAGTCCCAAGCGACAGCTGAATGAACATCCGTTGTTCCAAATCTTTTTCAACTATCGATACGGGCTCGAGTTTCCTGAAGTCAAGATCCCAGGAACAAAAGTTGAAATTGATCAGCTCTCTATGAACAAAATATTCAACCTTTCCGTCACTATTGATAATACCTCCAATGGGACGAGTATCACGATGGAGTATGACTCGTCGAGGTATCGAATCGAGACCATTCGTCTAGTCATGCGCACTATGCTGAGGCAGTTCATCGCAAGGGAAATTGAGGAGATAAATCTAAAAGTTCAAGTCGATTATCCAAAATGCATAATGTCACATGGCAATGCTCTTTTGCGAGGAAGTGAGTTCAACTCAATAATTAAAGGAACCAAGGCGAGATCTTATGCGGAGACAGATAAGGTAGCATCTGCGATTGCTGAAAATCTGAGTGATTCTTGTACCAAATTGCTGGGTTGCTCAGTGCGAAGCGATGACGTCATAGGGCTGGAAATTAGTCCTGAAGATGCCCCGGAATTGATCCTGGCAGTGCACAAAGTCGGGACTGCCTATGCGCCTATAGATCCTCTCTGGCCCGTACTACGAAAAGCACAGATACTGGAAAAAATGCCAGTGATTCTCAACATCCAGAAGGACGCGCTAACACAAGCCTTGCAGTATAGCGCAAGGAGAAGACGGAGATTGAATCGAATATCGGAGTACGACATTGCATACATTATACACACAAGCGGATCTACTGGTATTCCAAAAGGAGTCGTTCTAAGTCACAATAATTTGGGTTCATTTCTACGCGGGGCTAATCGACAAACGCTGATGAGACCAAGCCACCGCATTTCTAACTCAGTGAACATCGTTTTTGACGTCAGTGTCATGAACATTTTCGGAGCATTCGTTAACGCTTGTGAGCTCTGCATTCACGATAATATTCGCTATGCACCATTTGAGGTGGGGAAATTGGAATGTAATTTTGCATTTCTTACTTCTGCCACTTTCAACGCATTGACCATTGATGACCTACAAAAACTGACATCTCTAGAAAAACTCTTTGTGGGTGGCGAGGCAGTGAATGACCGAGTTCTCAGCGATGCTCTTAAACTGGGTATGGACATAACTCAGATCTATGGACCTACAGAGGGCACCGTGTGGTCCCTCACAAACAGATGTAAGAATCTCGAAAACGAGGGTTCCCTTATAGGGAGGTCGATGCCGAACGAATTCTGCTCAACAAAAGACAATGTATACGAAGGAGAACTTGTCTTGAAAGGTCCAAAAGTAGCTCGTGGGTACATCAACAGCAACGAAAATACGCCATTTTCTTCTGAAAATGGTATAAAGACGTATTCCACGGGAGATATAGTGAGGCGCGAGAAGGAGGGATTTTTGTTCAGAGGACGAATCGACGATCAAATCAAAATTAGAGGACACAGAATTGAAACGAAGGAGGTCAAGAGAGCTATCCTCAGTTTGTCACCTCAGATATCAGATGTGTGCATTCTTCCTTACGAGAACAGTGTGGCTGCTCTCGTAGTATCCAGTGAACCAGTTCATGGCAAAAGTATGACGAAAAAGCTGAGCCACCTTTTGCCTTCTTATATGATCCCGACGCGGTTCATACGTATACCAAGCATACCGCTGAACTCTTCCGGAAAAGTGGACAAAGACACGCTCATCAAAGAATTGTCTAGAATTCACAGCTTGGACTCCGAAGAATCCTCGTTTTCGGCAGAAGTGACCTCATCAATCGAAGATGGGTTGATAGCCATAATTCGCTCTCTTTTGAATGTAAGAGAAGTGAATATCAATGAAAGCTTCTTCTCCCTTGGCGGACACTCCTTGTTACTGTTCGAATTGAGGAAGCAGATCCTGGACACTTTTGATGTGACAATCAAAGTGCACGAATTATTTGCCAATTTAACCATATCCGAACTGGCTGACCTCATAGCAAATAGAAAGCAAGTTACCACCTCTGAAAGCGCCTCAATCATAATTACACTTCGCAAAACTCCTCAGGGCAAAGTGAATGTTTACTTCGTGCATGCGATAGGAGGTTCTATATTCCCTTACTATGCTTTCCTTCAATTACTACCTAAGGAGATCAACATTTATGCTATAGAGTATAAACTGCACTTCACGGCAACATCTCTGAAGGAGCTTGCGGCATTTTATGCAAAAGCGGTAAGTTACGACAAAACACAAGTTAAGTGAGTTCACCATTGGCGTTCGCGGTTTTAATCCTCCCAAATTGAACAAATCGAATTACCTTGTAGGAATGTATGAGTCCCAGTTGTTAGCTAATGCAGCAGATCAACTCACGTGGCTTCACCATTGTGCCAGCTAAATTTCCTGACCATACGTGCGTCTGAAAATAAATTCCAACTATTTAACTTCGGAGCTTAGTCATGAACTGACCACTGTGTGGGGGTTCAGCTACGAGAGAAACGCGATAGTGAAGCTCTGCGTGGACCATGCCATTCGATGCCCTTCAAATAAATTTTACCACCCATTCATACGCTTTAAGTTAGACAGAATAATCGTCAAACTTCTTTCCCCATTCGCTATTATATAGGAAGTGTTAACAAAGTGTAGCAAGGCACAAATACCGCGGCGGATACGCACCTCCTCCGTGGACCCCTGATCTTTGCATGTGCGAATAGATACCGTCCATGGACGAGTCCACATTGGGAGCGCCTAAGGGCAGTCCCCTACCTAGGCCGGTATGTATCGATCCTCCGTTTGAGTAAGTGTTCCTGTAAGTCGTATTCCAGCCTTACGCGGGCGCTCACGCCCACGATGCACGACCGTGGGCGCCTGGCCGTGCAAGAGCCCAATAAGGCAGAATCGGGAGGTTTGCTACTCATGGTCAGTTACCCGATCTTGCCTAATTGCAGTTTGTAAGTTTTGCGCGTCTTGAATTGAATGGCGGAAATTGTTATACCTCAAACGACTTGTTCACTGAAGAAGAAAAGATTTGATAATTGATATGTTGCAAAAGATTTGTCTGATGAGATTTGGTTTGATTTTAATTATG